TCAAAAATTCACAAACTATGAGCCTGTTCTGGGAAAGAGTTGTATATTTTTGTGAAGAAAAAAAATGTTGGCTGGCCTGTCAGATTGGGGAAAGTGGTCTGTACAGGGAATAAGAGGTGAAGGGATCCCAGCTCTTTCAATCAAGAACATGGAAAGGTGTGGCTTCTGAGCTTATCTCTTTTGTAAGACATCGCAAGTACTTTGAATAACCAGCTTAGTGAAATACTGTTTGCATGCCAAAGTCTGAAAATGTATACCGTTGCATCTATACACAGAAGAGATTTGAGGAAACCATGGGGATTGTATTTTTCTGTCAGTGTGATAATCTAAAGTAGTGTAAAATATTATTACTATAGTAAATCCAGGATACATTGCACCTATGCGTTAGATGATGTTGGTGAATAAAACACTTGCTTTCTTCGGCAATGAGGATTTTTTAAAAGGCCAGTAATTTGCATTAAATATCTATTATTCTTCAATTAATAATGATGGTATTCATGTATTTTTTTTTAAAAAGATTTGGAGCATGTACATGTTTCTTTAATATATGTTGATCCCAGTGATGCTTCTTATGATGGCTTGTTTTCTTTGGAAGCATTGTTGAAGGGTGGGGCTGGGGGACATATCTGGGTGATCAGAGCTCTGATATGCTCAGTGTATTGGTTCACTGATGCTCTTGCTGTGTACAGTATTTTGAGGTACAGACTGTTTAGAGTCAGGTTTACTGACAATATCTTCTTAGACATGTATCTTGTCCTTGGTCTCAGTCAACAAGAGCTCTTCCATACTCTTCTATGCTATAGGTGGCTGTGGAATAACACCTTTGAAACTCTCAGCTAAAATAAATCTTTCTTCTTTTAGCCGATTTTCCTAGGTGTTTTGTCACAGGGTTGGAAAATGATGTGGATGTAATATTTTATCAGCTGCACATTTTTACCTTCTGTATTATGAGTACCTACTATGAAGTGTTTAATTGATATTCGTAATGACTATATCACTGGGAATCATACTCAGTATTTATAACTACTAATCATATATTATTGAATATATAGAATTCTTTTATTTTTTCCATTTTAATTAATTTAGTGGGATGTGTTATCTTTTCAGTTATATCTTTGTTCATTTACACATGACTTTTTTCATTAATTAAATTATGTTTTTCACTTTACATCCTTCCCTTTATATCACAGTCCCCTTTCCCCCTCTCTTCCCAGTCCCACCTTTACAGATCCTTCCCCCCCATTACTCCATCCCCTTCTGCTGAGGAGAAGGGGAAACACTGTGCCCCCCTAGGGTTCCACCAGAGCCCTGGGGCATTTAGTACCAGCAGGACTAGGCACATCCCCTCCCACTGAGGACCAATTAGGCAGTCCACCTGGAGAAGGAGATCCAAAGGCAGGGAACAGAGTCAAAGACAGCCCCCATTCCAATTGTTAGGGGACCCACACGAAGTCAAGCTGCACATCTGTTGCAAATACGCAGGGCCCTAGGTCTAGCCCTTGTGAGCTCCCTGTTTGGTGATTCATTCTCTGTGAGCCCCCATGGGTCCAGGTTACTTGACTCTGTAGGTCTTCTTGTGGCATCCTTGACTCCCCTGGCTTGCTTAGTTCTATTCCCCACTCTTCCACAAGAGTCCCCGAGCTCCACTTGACGTTTGCATGTGGGTCTCTGCATCTGTTTCCATTCCTTGCTAGATGAAATCTCTCAGGAAACAGTAATGCTAGGCTCCCGACTGCTAGCATAGCAGAGTATCACTAATCGTGTCAGGGGATGGCTCTCTTTCATGGGATGGGTCTCAAGTTGGGCCAGTCATAGTTGGCCATTCCCTCAGTCTCTGCTCCATCTTTATCCTTGCACATCTTGTAGGCAGGACAAATTTGGAGTTGAAGGTTTGATGGGCGTGTCCCCCTCCCTACTGGCTTCATGAGGTGGCTTTTTTTAAGTCCATATTTATTAATTTTGAATTACCACATTAGGGGCCATATATGTCTTTCAAGTTTTTGCTTATTGCCAGACTGCACTCTAGAAAGTTACACTAGCTAAAAATCATGCAAAGACTTAAGCTTAGGCACTTTTCTTCGAGTGATGAGTTGGAGAACCCTTTGCTTAAGAAACCAAGAAGTTACATTTAGGGAAGTGTAAATGTGTGACTTGACATCATTAAGCCTTCTGATAACTAAATCTCCATCAAAGACTATCGAACACTTACTTGCAATTGGAGGAAACATGATTAACAGTCAATAAGGTTTGGTTTTAACATTGAGAGTGAGGGACGTACATGTTTAAAATTTCCAGACTTTAAATATAGAGGGCCAGTTGTTTTCAGATATTGTAGAAGTAATCTTTTGGAGTTGGTAAGACCACAGTGCTGGCTACATTTAAGTTGATGGAGGGAAGTCTGTGTCCCAGCTGCAGCTACACGGGAACCAGCTGTGTAAATTGCCACTATATCAATTCTGTAGACAAGGCTGGCAGTTGTTCCTGCTTGTTTCTCCTTTGCAGAACTGCTCAGTAAGTGCATTATTAATGCCAGAATCCAGCCAAGGGAGCCATGTTGGGCTCTGTGTAAATAAGACTATTTATCCAAACCATTCCATAGATGTGAATTATCAGCACTAATTTTCTTTATTATTTAACCTGTGTTGAGTGGCAGTAAAATGCTGAAATAGTTAGGATAAGCTTTTATTTCATGACTTTCGTCTTTCTAATGATCAAATTGGTAAGGACTAATGATGACTAGCGTGTGTTCATTCCATTTCTTTAATAAGAAAATGGCTGTAGCTTAAAATGCAAATGGCTGAAAATTGCTAAATGGTCTTAATGGTAAATATAATGCGCTTTTAAAATGTGACACAAAGCATATTTTACTCCAAACTTTATTTTATGATAGAAGAAAATTACTATTAGGAAGCTAATAAGTCTTTTGAGCTTTACATTTTAAAATTGGTAGTCAGAAGCTAAACTTGTGGAAGTAAATATCTCACTTACTTATAAACTGCTTCATCAGCGGAGAAACAGGACACAGAAGCAGACCAGTAGTGATGTAGACTGTTTTCCTAGGGTCTCAGGCCTGGTCATGGTAAGACCAGAAAGTAGTTCAATTTAAATTTGTACATTGGAGGGACATTTTGATAACTTAGTTATTGATGTTAAGAATGTGAGAATATCTGTGAATAAGAGCTTTCTTTTTTTTCTGCAAATTAAGTTAAGATCCAGGACATCCTGTTTTTTTTTTTTCTTTTTCGATTTTTTTTTCATTCTGGAAGTTGTTTTCTAAAAATACACAGATGATTTTATATTCTATTAATGTACTGTCTGTGAGAATCAAGCTAAAATGTAATCCCAGCATTTGAGAGAAGATGAAGACTAGGGGACACAAGTAAACAATAACAGGAATTACTATTAATATAGTATGTGTAGTCTGCACTGAAGTACTAGAAGAAACTGTCATAAAAGCTTGGGATCTCAAAGGTCCCCTCTAGTGGCAATTGTCCAGATTGGAAATTTGATTTCTTTATGTAGTTGAAGCCTTCCTCTCTGAAATGCTTTGTTTGTTTGTTTGTTTGTTTGAGCTCCAGGTTGTGGATTAACTGAGATAGGTAGACCAGTAGTCATTGAGATTTTGGGTATCATGGTACAATTTGTTATGTTTCAGAATAGAATACAGAAGAGTAATTCTGCATTTCAGGACTAGGGGGCCAAGTGCAGTGTAAGAAACCTTATATAAAAGTTAGCTCTGTAATATGACTCCTAATGTCATGCTGTTAAAATGATGTCGTTACATTTTTGATGGTTCATGTATTTATTCAAATCTGCTTTCCATGAGGATAACAGGAGATCTTTCTGCAGAGCTGCTTGCGTTAATATAGTAGACCAGTGCCCGGATCTCGTTTTTGTAAATAGTATGAACTTTACCCCTCCCAAAACAAAAATCAGTGTTGGGTCTCTGAGGGTAGGATTCTATCTGTGTCATTTACCTCAGGAGATCCATAATGAGAACTCAGTCCAAGTGACTTCATGCTTGGTTTGGTCCAGCTTTAGAGGACCATGGTGATCAGTGCTAGCTGGGGTCAGAGTTAATCTTATCGAGATGACAGCTTTGAGTCCACAGTGCACCAACTATGTATTAGAATCAGCTTTAGATTAGTTGGGCATTAGGGCTGGCAAGATGGCTCAGTGGGTAAGAGATTGATGCTAAGTGTGAGATCTGCGTTTGATTCTTAGGTCTCATATATTGGAAGAAGAATACCGATTCTCTCAGTTGCCTTCTGACTTCAATCATGTGCCCTGGCATGCATGTGCCTGCATATGTTTCTCCCTTTCTCTCTTTTTCTCTCTGTCTCATGCACATGTGTCACATGTATAAAATAAAAATTTTATAAATGTAGAAAGAAAGAAAAGTTGAGTAGTAGCCCTAATAATCACTTTGCAAAGTATTCTCACTCCATGACTTGATGTTCTTAGGACTTAGTGAATGGCAAAGTGCATAAGATTTAAATAAACAAAAAATATTGGTATTCGAAGTTGGAAGTTATTCTACCACCTGCAGTCTTCTATTTCTCTGCTTTAACATTCTTGTCGATACAGAAAGAAAAAGAAGAAAGTAGTTTATGTGCATATCAGAACAATAAATTTACTTATTTCATTTTTCAAAAGCTTGCTATTTGGTAGACTGGTGAAATTTTAGAGAGAGTTTTGAACTTGAATCTGACTCCTGCCTATCTACCCCTAAGTCAGAAGTGATATCTTATATTTTTATATTGTAAACCAAGGTTAATAACAAGTTGTAGAGATTAGTCATTTTTTTTGTCTAGTTTGTGCAATGTCAGTAAGAAATGGATCTACATGATGTCTTGACTGATATTTTTCTATGGCCCTGCCCCAGAAGACATTTTAAAATTTAATATTTAATATTTTCATAGGACAGTATCCTTTTATAGTTGTATGATCCCCCTGGCTTATCAATGTTTTTAGCTTTGTTATTTGTAATGTCATTTCAGGTTCCTATATGGTCGTGGACTCCTCAAATCATGATCCTGGAGAAAAAGCCCGACTTCAGCTGCCTACCATGAAGGAGAATGACACCCACTGCATTGATTTCAGTTACCTGTTATACAGCCAGAAAGGATTGAACCCTGGCACTTTGAACATCCTAGTTAGGGTGAATAAAGGACCTCTTGCTAATCCAATTTGGAATGTGACTGGATTCACTGGTCGTGATTGGCTTCGGGCTGAGCTAGCTGTGAGCACCTTTTGGCCCAATGAGTACCAGGTAATCCACTGAGATTTTTGGTTTGTGCTTTTGTGTATTGGGTCTCTTTGGATGTGGAAAATATAGATATAAATACTGCTCCTGCAGGAGTAGGGTCCCTCTCTCTTGTTTCCTAACTCCTTCTTCTTGAGGAGGAGTTTGAGTACCTTGGTACAGAACCTTCTAACTATAGAAAATATTTTCATGCATAGAAAACAGTAGTTCAGCCCACAAGTGTTGTTTGCTTGGCAAAGGGCTACTTACTTCTTATTCTGATGTTCATATTTCTATGTCTTTTTGCAGGAAGAAATAGCTTTTTGTTTTCCCATTAGACTGCAATATTCTGACTGGATTGGCTTACTGATTTCTTGAAAATAGCATTTTGAATATACACAGAAGATAGAATTTTGTGAAATATGTGGTCTTTAGTGGGGGCATTTGATGATTCTCTTCCTTAACTAAATGGGATATTTAAAACAAGCTAACAAGGCAGGCTGTCCATACGAATCTTTGGATGATTTTTCTTAGAATGCTCAATCTGATTATGATGGAAGGATACAATGAATAATGTTAATTGCCAGTTCTGGGTACTTGGGACTGAGTTTGCTTGGTTTAAGAGAGGAATCCCATTCACCAGCACATAGACTGTCAAGTTTAGTGCCTGCAAAACACAATCTTTTTGTAAGGACACAGAGCTTGTGTCATATGTGACATTTTAAACCTTTTAGAAGACCTACCTCTTCATGGATTACTATAGAGCTAATGAGAGTGCATTTATGTATAAGCACATTCTACAACACCCAGTAGCATAATTATTTCATTCAAGTACTTCAGAAGGGAGCTCCCCTTTTTATGGTTGTCACTCATTAGTTACAAAAAAATAAAGCACCCCCTTACTTGCTTTTTCCTGTATTGATTTTCTATTTTCACAGTCTCCTGCGCTGTGGTTCTGGTGAAAGTTATGTCCCTCATTTTCTGGTTGTGTGTCTGCTGAAAGCTCAGTGCATTTCCGTAGGTGCTAGTGGGTTCCCTGTACAGAAAAAAATGTTCCTTTTTACTCTGATAGAAAATCCATGTGTGGGTTCTTTTTTTTTTTTTTTTGGCCCAAACCTAGAATGGTCTCAGTTGTGTTCTCAACTTTACATGATTGCCTTGATTGGTGTTTTAAATGTTTCAGTCATACAGGTAACTATTTGTACCTGTGCAGTATTTTCATAGATGACTTAGCTGTTGATTGTCTCTGTTCCAGAAGATACTCATTTGCTTTAAGTACCAGGTATTAGAGACCAGTTGTGAGATTTCTTTCAGAGAAAATTAGAAGATGGATTTCTATTCTTTTGTCAGAAAAGGACCACCTCATTGTGACACAGAAGTACTTCATAGACTTGCCTCCCTATTTATGGCTTAAACAACTTGTTTGCTCAGAACAAACCTCCTCTAGCTGAGCTTGGTAGCTCCTGGAGGTTAGTCTAGTGTTCAGGAACCAGCTACATTTGGATAACCCTCTAAATTCAAGGGCAGCCTGGGTTATAGTTTGAATCTTAATAAAGAAGGAAAGAAGGAAAGAAGTAAGGAATGAAGGAATATATCCAAGCTTTTTCAAGTAATTGCTTAAGATTTCAGAACTTCTTTTTATATTTGGAAAAAAAAATATTAAAAAAAAGTCAAAATAAAAACCTTTTCCCTAGAGAAAAAAAAGTACTAACATGATTGTCTTAGTCATCAAATGATTCAGTTAAGACCCCCCCCCCCAAATATGTCACTTTAAAAAAATTAGACTTGTAAGGAATTGTATATTCAGGTTGTGGTGAAACTGCCCCATCGACATGATGCACTGGATTTCATTGTTTGGTATTTCATTCTTTAATATTGTTTTAAACACAGTTTATATAGAAATCTGCTGACTCTGCTTATCCTTCCTCTTCTTGTCTGGTCCACCTTGTGAAATTCTGGCTACAAAAAAATGACAGATTGTGTTTACATTGTAGCCACTTTAGGCAGGAAATTGCATTCAGTACACACTAACATTGTTGAATGGAAGAAGCAGGTGTATATTTTATATTTTGGCAATCATCATAGTAGCCCAGGACTGTATAAGAAGCTTGTGTGTGTCTGTCTTCAGGATAATAGTTCTCTTCCAGCCCAACATACCGATAGAACTTCTTATACTGACATTTATTTTATGTGTCATTGTAGTAAGATGCTGTGGCATATTCTAGGCTTGAAGGTAGTGGTTGCTTAATGCTTAAGTTGATTGCCAAATAAATAACAAAAGGAAAAGCTCAAAAAAGCCACTTAGAAATATAATCACTGGTTACGTTATAGCTAAAGATCTGCAAAGTAAAGAGTAATAATCTTCACTTTAGAAACCAGACTCTGCTTGTGTGCATGAATGGAGTTCTGCTTTGGCATTAAATCCATTTCCCTCTGAACAGCAAAGTTGCTACTAAATGAGGCAGACAGATGACATACATAACCTGCAATACTCTTAGTGGAGACTTAATCTGTTGCTTTCTATTAATGAGGCACACATCATTAATCTCCAAAATGATGTGTGGTGAACACTAACAGGGCTCTGGCCTGGAACTAAATTGCAACAATGTAGCAAGTGCCTTTCCCCCTTCTTCTAGGAGAGACAAGCACAGACCTGGTGCAATTCATTTTCTCCACCTTTTCTTTCTGTTGCTTTGGAAAGGATGTTAGAACAGGCTTCAGACCCTGGCTTTGTCTCCCATTTAGAGTCGTATTCACATGTGCTGTGTTAATATTTTGGCAATAGAGTAATTGCTATATTCCCGATAGTGGAGATCCTCCTGGTTTGGGATAAAAAAGATCCTGAGTTAAGTCAAGTAAGCACATACCTGTATAGATTGCCTCTAAAAGAATGAATATGGAGGAAGGGCAGCCTCTGTACCAACCTGGAGCCTGTTACTAACCATCCTTCAGAGGTCCAGGGGTGTTAAACTTCTCCTGTACTTCTTAGATCTCCAAATTTTCCTAGCCCTTATTTGTCTATCCAGGTCCCACCTTAGATACATATTAAAAAGTTACATAAGTGCAAACATTACATAAAATTACATAGTTACAGTATGAAACTACATTGTGTGAACATTGCATAAAGTTACATAGTTACATTATAAAGTTACATCGTCCAAACTCTGGCTCATTGTTGTGAATACTGAGATGTATTTAGATGCTGTCTTTTGTCTGTTTGTTAGTCAATGTCAGCTCCTCTCACAATGGCAGGACTTCTCACTTCATTTGTATGTTCATTCTTTTTGTAGGTAAGGGTGGACAAATGACTGTAATCTGGGTAGTGAATCAGAAGAGTGAGAGATGGAAGAGGGAGGGAGGTTGTTACTAGGGTGTTTCTCTGAAGAAGAAAATGATTGACCAGCTTAACAAGGCAGCAAGGTTATGAAAAGGGCCTTGCCTACATTCCCAGGCAAAGTAATGACAATATATAATAATCACAATAAATATTGTTTAAATTGCTCGAAGATGAGTATTCTGCTTCCAAAAATGACATGGTACATGGCACATGGTACATGTCATTTTTCTCAAGTCACTCATATTTATGGTTTATGGCTAGCACAGGAGGACATGTCAGAACTGAAAGTATGTATGTCTACCTGTGATGGGGCAAGTCACATTTCTAGTGTCCTAATATATAGAACATAAACATATAAAGTTGTACAGAAGTATAGGCTGAATGACAGTGTATCAATGAATTGCAAACAGAAAGGAAGGAAGGGAAAGGATTAGGCCTCCCATGTATGGAGTGCTGTCCATGATCAGCTCTGTATCATATCATTTTAATTTTCCCATTTCAGAAAATGTAAAGTAAATGTATCTTACCTTTCTAGGTGGAAGCAGGTTTCCAATTAGTTAATGTAGGATTAACATTCCACTTTTCCCTCTTTATTTAGTCTGGCTACTAAGTTAGGACTTTGCCCTTCTCAGTCACGATTGAATGCAACCATGTACACAGGCTACTTTTAGTAATGGCAGCTGGCATGGCTCACCGAGGCCACTGTGACTCATTTTTATATGGACAACCATTTCTCAGTTCTTCTCGATTATTCTCAATGTGGATCTTTGCCAGCTGTCTTTTCACCCCAATGCTTGCCTTTGTTGCATCTAAAGCAGTCCAATTGAGGGTGGAAAGACTCTGTGTCATTATAGTCATTGTCTTTCTAAAACTTCAGAGTGTGACTTCTCCCTGCTTCCTGAGGCAATTTGCTTTTATTACGGAATGTCTCCTTCTTCTTTGATGCTAGACTCTGTATTGATTCCTTGATGAATGTGAGCCCATGTAAACAAACAGAGACAAATGAACAGGAGCTCTGCAGTTAACCACAAGATAATTGTTTGCATACAGCACGGCCCTCTGCTCAGCCATACCTGCTTCTGCTCAGAACCTGAAGAGTTGTCATGACACCCTAGGCAACATAGGGAGCTACTAATTGTTTGGAGGACTCATGCCATGAGAATAATTCAATTCCCCTTAAATAACTGATTGAAAACTAATGACCATTAAAGAGAGCCAGGCGTTGTTCAATATATGACACTCTCCTTGCCCCATGAATTTGTCCCGTGGGGAAAGAAGTACTCCTAGGAGCATGGAAGAGTAGCATGTTTGTTGCTTGTTCAAATTCTTGCACTTTAAGTCTGGTTAGCTGGATCTGAGACAACACATTTACATTTTGGTTTGCTAATGCCTTTATTAATTATTTCATTGATTGAGGCAATCTTTACAAAGAAATATAAAATAATGTGGGTAGATACAAAAACATGAGAAAAAATGGTTTCCGTCTCATCAGCTTACTGATATTTTCTGACATTGTACCTTCTCTATTAATTCAATTCCATACTGTAGATGAAAAGTGTGTGCATCAACTTCAAATTAATTTCTCTTTCAGCTGTTGTCTGTGCTAATACTTGATAGTTAACTCCTATGAGCTTGATTTTTGATTTCCAGAACAAAGCAATTGAATATCTGCTTTGTGTGTTGTCCTTTT